TATAAAAAATATTTGAATGTCTTAAAAAATCGTAAAACGTATTTAAATATAATTTTTTTCTATCAATTACACACACGCAGATTTAAGTCAACCACCTTTTTCCGCATCTTTAGCAGGCCCATGCGAGATACGCATAGAAATTGAAAAACCCGCAGACGGTAAAGCAACTAACGCTTGTTATAAACCTTATATATAAGTTGTATATATAAGTTTTTATGCCCTACTTTTCAAGTAAAATTTTCAAAATTAGCTACAAGCTTTTAAATTTTAAAGTGTCTACTACTAAATATTCTTCCAAATTTGCTAATAATTGATTATCAGTAAACTTAAATTGAATTTGAATACTTATATATTTGCTAAACCACACGTATTTTCGTATTTTATAAATAAAAGCACACCTTTTGCCACACAAATGTTTCAGTAGAGAAATTTCTTAACACTTAACAACACTTGAACCCGCAAGTAAACGCCAAGCACAAAATACCATATACCTATAGACCGCACATTAAATAACCACGCCAATCGCACACGAACACACACATAGTAACCGTTGCATACATACGCAAACTAGTAATCCGCTAGCACAACATTTTATGTCCTGAAACATTGTCACCTTGTAAGTTCTTCTTCTCTACTGTCGAGTTCTGCTCCCTTTGATTTATCAGATTTTCTTAACTACAAAACTTTTTCACCAGCAAGGCAGTCCTTTAATTGAAAAGCATACTTGCAATGACAGTTATTTGCGCATTTTACTTACATGTGATCATTTTCTTTTGCTAAGTACAGCTCAGCATCGTTCACATGTTTATTCCACTTGAGATTTATTGCTGTACAAATGCGTCAACTTCACATATGAAGTTTAYTTAATGAAAAACTATTTGCTTTGCTACTTGAAAATTACTTCTTCCTTTTCGCATTCTCACTCACTTCTCCTCTCTACCAACCGCATTCACTCTATCTTTGCCTTTTCGAAATAACTTTTATCATATGTAGCTTAGTTAATAATCATACTCGTATGTTTCTTAAACGGAAGTCATTTGACGCATGTAACATCTACTCAAAATTAAGCTTCTAGCACTCAGCCAATATTAAGTTTGTTATTCCCCCTACTTTTTCGTCTCCGTATTGTCAACACAACTAATTAAAGACTGCAAACTGTTTTGCTTACCTTCATTAGAGCGACCCTAACAACAAATTTTCGTAATAGTTTCAATAATTTGTGGGAGTACCCACACATACGACTATTTATCCTTGTAGTTGCACACACTTTCTTACTATGATCATACGGACATTTGTACATACATACAAATAACCTCAAATACTGTAAAATACACTTTCTTCATACAAAGATATCAAGTTGTTCTCCAAATTTTGTTTACTTTTTAGTCTTTGTTCTTTGAGCGCAAGCTGCTGCTGCCAAAATTTTATAGTTTTGAAATAGTTGGTTTTAAAAAACAGTTACAAAATCTATTTACAACATTTTGAATATGTATTTTTGGGTAGGTTGCTCATTTTATTAGTTTGCTTTTGTTGCCTGTCTTTGAGGTGAACTTTTTGTGGTTGTCCAATATTGTACAAATAAATGAAAGGAGAGAGTTATGCTACAATTGCATGTATATAAATACCGTTTAGAAATACATGCTATAACAGTTAATATATGCTAAATAAAATACAGCTTAATGTTGATAACAAGAACAAGTTTCTTGTAATATTTAATTATATTTAAGACTGCCATAAACATAACAACTATTATACATATTTTACTATGTCTGATGAAACAATGAAAGCTTCATATAAACTTTTTTTAAGCAATAATATTAAAATATGTCACAGAATCGGTCTAATTTTAAATATTTTAAACTGTATGAAAAAAGGCGCGTTTTTGACAAAATTATTACTTTTTTACATTTTGAGAAACTAAAACTCATAAAGCGTTTCACAAGTCCAATAAGATGGTATTCCATAAGTTTAGTTCAAAAGTTATCAAAGTGTTTCACAAGTACAATCTGACTTATTAAAGTTAAAATCGTTTTGTCACAAAAATAAATTCGTTTCTTTTTGTAATCTAAAAGCCTTAAAACGTTTCACAAGTTCAATTATGTTTTTTCCTGCTTCCATTACCTTTTTATTCCTTTTTCGTTGTATTTTGAACTCTTTTACTTGCCCATTTACGCACAAACGCATCATTTACTAAATAAACGCTTGAAAACTTTTAAATATTTTTCCTTCTGATTTCATTTAATTTGAGTAGCATTACTGCCATAGCCGCTTTTTCCTCTCATTATACCTTTTTCGTTCATTCCAACTTTTCCACTCATACAATTTTTTCCTTTCYTTACATTTTTTCCTTTTCTTCTACCGTCAATAGCACCACTCGTGTTTAGTGTCTTCATTATGACATCACAAGACATCTGTTGCCACAATCTTTATATTCATTTTCTGTTATCAGTATCACTTATCTTTATCTACTTTCAATCGTTATCCTTTTGTGGGTCACTTTATTACGCATTTCACTATTTTTGATACCTTTCTGAAGGTCTAATTGACTGTAATATTAACGCAGCGGCTCATACGATTAAATATTTTTATGTCGATTAATTTTTAGTACACGCKCATAATAATAGGTAGTAATATGGCATTTTTTGGGTTGAGCCATAAGCCCTTTATCGGTTAACTGAAATATACACACAAATATTTATGTATTTTGGGCATTAAAATAAAAYTTAATTATTTTCGGCTACACAGCACAGCTTAATAATTTTTCTGAAAACAACAATGTTCAAAAAGAGAGATTAATAAAATAAAATTATATAAAATATGTTTCATTTTAAAAAACGATTTCGTGCTAAAGCAAAGTATTTTACTTCCACAATTAACACAGGGTTTAACTTCACCAGAATTTCGTTGGAACTTCAATAAAAATACCTAAAAGTATTAACTATTTAACGATTACTACCCATTCTTCGAAAATCGCTTCGAACAAATCTCCATTTGCAAACAATTTTTGATAATTTTTATGCAACACCTACACATACATACTCCCCGCTCTCTGCTGTAAGAGTAAAGTTAATTTGGTTCATGCATATTTCATATTGTTTTCATTGTTTACCCAAAATTTTATCGACTAGTCAACAAACAAAATTGTGTAACTAATCAGCTGTGTTGAAAGTTTTGTTGCTTGTCTTGTGGCATGACACAGAAAACCTCAAGTTTTGTTGCATCTTACATATTTAGTCATATAATAGTATATCTACTTGTAGCTAATYGCAGTAAATTTTAGTATCAATATTATTTCTATGATATGTTCGAATATAATTATAAATTGACATACTAATATTAAATATTTATTTATGCAAAATTTAATTTTCTGCAGATGATGAATCTGGTGAAAAGTCTGTCTCAGTATTACTCAGCGGTGAGGAGTCCGAATTGATTTTCATTGATCATGCATATACAGAAATGAATGTAAGTATAATATACACCGGAAATTGTATAATATGGGATTGTCGAAAAAGTCTTTTCGTATTTCTAATCAAACTTTAACTTATGTTTTTATATTTATAATGAACTTTAATGAATCAAATATGTACCATTTTGATCGATCACTTTTTGCCATTTTTCCGCTAGAGACATAGKTTCATCAGTGTAAAACTTTTCTGATTTCTCGGCGACAAACTGCAACTAGTAATTTTCACAGGCTTCTCTTGAAGCCAACTTCACTCCATTAAGGGAGTTCTGCATTGCCCGAAACAAATAGTAGTTCGATGGTGCAAAGTGTGGACCATATGGTGGATGTATCAAAACTTCCCAGTCAAGCTCTCCCAGTTTTTGCCGAGTCATCAAAGATGTATGTGGTCTAGCGTTGCCCTGATGGAAAACGAAGCCCTCTCTGTTGATCAGTTCTGGTTTTTTCGATTGCTTGCATCACTAAAATATAGAATCAATCGTTCGTCGAGGCTGGAGAGGCTCATAGTGAATGACTGTTTTTTTTTTTTTTTTTTTTTTTTTTTTTTTTTTTTTTTTTTTTTTTTTTTTTTTTTTTTTTTGTTGCTTGCTTCAATTTCATCAGCTGTTGATAGTAAACTATAGAACCAATCGTTCAACTACGCTGGAGCAGCTCATAGTGGATTATTCCTTTCCAATCCTCGCATCATAAACTTTCCTTTTCGTCAAAATGTTCGAAGTGTTTCACAAGTTCAGTTTAATATATWCACATTATAAACTACAGAAAAAAAAACGATTTTCATAAAAAGTATTCAATTGCGATTTCTTTTTGTTAATCCCAAAAATCTTAAAGTGTTTCACAAGTTCAGCTTAAGTTATAAACATTATCCCACAATTTGAATAAGCCACTCATGTATAAATAAGCGCACAAATTGGAATTTCGAATTTCTTTTACTGTCTACTCCCAAAAAAGTGACTGTAGTGCTAAACCTACCGAAAAAAATCAGCGCTTTTCATAAAATGAATTTCAATTCGGTTGCTTTTTTTTAACATTAACATTATAAATTGTAAGAAAGTGTTTCATAAGTTCAATTATTTCTACCAATATTTGGCCTAAAAAATTATTTTCTTTATTTTTAACACTTTTAAGCTGTTTTCATTTCTCATTTAATCAAAAATACATCACTTTATCAACGTTTTCCTTGTAAATCGCAACTTAACATTTTTATTTATAATTAACCACGAATCATCTCAAATGCMCTCAAAATCTGCCACCATAACTAAAAATGCCATAAAAAGATTCATTAAGTTCCACATATCTCTTGCGCACATACTCGTGGCAGCCACTGTGCGCACAACAGAAAACAAATAAAGCCATCAAGAGCCAGACACAGCTGATTGCAATGAAAATGACGGTCACATCCTTTGGCCACTTGATGATGCGGACGCTGGTTTGACGCACTTAAACACCGCAAATACAAACACACACACATACACGCGCACATATGAGCTGAGTCTACAGCAGCACAGCTGTGATCATATGCTCGAGTGCTTCATCTACTTTGTAGTCGTCACATTGATTGTATCTGTATGTACGTCGATTTGCGTTTTTGGTTTTCTGGTTRCCATTACCACATGTAATCGCAATCGCTTGACGAGAAGTTAAATGCAAATCTCACAGCTGAGCTAAATTGTCGGTAAAACAGCAGCTGCTCTTGACCTTTAGCCAGCTATATATGCTAAGTGAAGAAAATAGCTTACAAGAATATGATTTTTTCCCAGCACATATGTATGKGGATATATGATTAATATTATATAAGTACTTATGTACAAGATATTTAGTGGTTAGGTTGTCATAAAAGTCTTACGGTATTTTCGCTAGTTGGCGCTGAGAACGCGTASTTCTAGTTTTATTCGTCGCATCGGGTCATGTTATACATTTTTGGAAAGCTCATTTCACGCGCTAACACGTGTTTGATTGATTGTCGTTTCTTTTAAGTCGTTCGTGAGTTATAGCGTCGCAAACTTGAAGCAAAATAAAGAGAAAATACGGCATATTTTACAGTACTACTACGATAAAGGAAACTATGCATCTCAAGCCGCCAAATAAAATTTGTGCAATTTATGGACCCGCAGTTTCTATTTCCACCGCACAACGATGGCTTCAACGTTTTCGTTCTGGTGTAGAGGTGGTTGAAGTTGCGCCACGTTCCGGAAGGCCTGTCGTCGAAAATTGCGATAAAATCGCTGAWTTTTCATYAAAAAAAGAAGTCTGAAGAGTCATCAAAAAGAAATTTTATGAACTGTTGAAAATTCAATAAAAATACCGCAAGAAATACCGCAAGACTTTTTTGACAACCTAATATTTAAATTTGCTACACTCCCTGTTAGGCCTCAGCTATGCATATCAGGCTCCTTTACTATCTTGAGATAGACATCTATATTTATATTGTACATGACAAATATATTTACTTTTTCAACAGTTTCCCATTCTCTTCTATAAATCAAATTAACGTATTTCGCTTTATTTTTCTATTTTTATGTGTCTCTTCTGCTTCGTTTACTCGAATTTGTGCTTCTTCGTGGGTKTTTTTGCTACTGCTCATCAATTTATAGCCTGATGATTGCCTATCCAGTTATGATCCGCACGGTTATTGTGTCATTTATTCGGCTGCTGACCGTAGCAGTTTCACTGTGGCCGAACATGTACTGCAAGTTTTGTGGACCAATCAAAATATCGCACAAAAGGCTGTCATTTTGGTGGCGAACAAAGCCGATTTGGCGCGCAGTCGGCTGGTGACATCCGATGGTGAGTAAAGGCATTATTACATATTAATRTTTATTTTAAGAATGATGATATAATATAATACAGTTACTTATATTTATGAAATGCAGTTACGTGTGGAACACTAAACAATTTTTTAAGAAATACTTTAAACAGAAAACCAAATAACTCCATTAAATCATTTTTCATACAACAAACTACGCAACAAATATTTCAAATTACCATGAAAATTCATAAAAAATATATGTATATTATACATATTACTCATAGAAAACTCAGCATTTAATCTCACTTTCTGTGCCTGCCATAACTGCTTCGTCAAGTGCTTCAACCCACAATTTGGCTAAGCCACTCATATATAAATAAAGGCACAAATTGGAAAAACTCTTCGGATTTGTCTTACTGACTTCTGCCAAAAAAGTAATTGTATTGTTGAACTCACCGCAGAAAATCGAACCATTGTTCTAGCAAACGCTTTCACACASCAGCGCTTGCAATACACAGCTTAATCGCTTAAGCTTATGCCACGTCATTTTTTTTTTCGTTGTCTCAGCTGTGCGCACTTATCTCTCATAATACAAATAGACAATTTTACCTATGTATAGCGCCCGTTACTGCGTCATGAATATATTTAATTTACTTTTGCATAATAGCATTTATTTTGCTCAATCATTGTGGGCTTGGTCTTTTTTGCCGCTTTTCTATTAGTTTTTTCTTTTGACTCACTTCATTTTTTATTCTCTTGCAAGCAMTTTCTCTGCTCTCCTTATAGCGGTTGTTGTGGCGCTCAACAAATAGCAATTTGATTGCATAAATTCCAATAAGCTCCTTTAAATGAAATAAAATTGCAGAAAAGTACGGCTAACAAAAACTAAAACCGATCACGGATTTTATTGTACTTAAAATGATATTTTTAGGCATCTCAAACCTTAAAAGTATGCAGTAATTTTTAGTCTTAATAGAAATGTTTGGGGATTTAATGGGGTATAGTCATGGGGCTAAACAGTTATATTCGTAGGGCTATATCTAATTGCAACTCTCGCGTCCTCGTCGCGCACCGTGGCAACGTGAGTAACCCTTGTGTAAGGTACGCTATCCAACCCGTTTTGGGCCGGGGGGAAAGGCTAAAAGAGAGGAAGCTTCAGCGGAGCCACTCCGACATGTTCAGTTTAAAGCTCCGCTAAAGTTTAATTGCAGCGACACGTGGTCTAGCTAGGTTGTTCGCTGGATTTGGAGTCCCGCCACGTAGGAATCACTCCCAATGAAAAAGAACAACAGCCTCGGATGAAACACTCGACTTCTTATGACAACCACAGCAAACGTAATAAGGACTAGCATTTAAGGATATGCAAGTGGAATGTTCGGTCTCTGAATTAGTAAGGTACCAACGCTCAGCGACTAACCGAACGTTTCAAAACCGGAGCATACTCTCGTAAGTCCCAAAGTAGTGATCTAGTGGCTGATGTTCAGAGCATACTGAAGTTATGGACACATAATCTGTGTAAATTACCGTGAGATACGCCTTCTTAATATTGCATATAAGGAATAAAGCTGTGTAAGCTGACATTGTGCAACACCAAAAGCTCCGTTAAGATCGGGAAATACCTCTCCGAGCAGTTCAATACCAACTTGGTTTGGGACGAGGAGACTCCCTGAGACTTCTTCACTCTATTTCTGGAGAAAATTACACGAGTTGCCGAGCTAAATAGAGAAAGTACAATCTTCTCTTTTCTCCAGACTGGACAAGGAAGCAAAGAAGATGGGCCTGGTTGTGAGCGACGATTAGACGAAATAATTCCTGTCATCAAACAAACTGTCGTCACATTCGCGACTAGGCTCCCACGTCCCTCTTGATAGTCATAACTTCGAAGTCGTAGATAATTTCGTCTATCATGGAACCAGCATCAAGACCAATGTGCTTAAGCTCTAACAAAAAAAAACATATTAAATGATTTTCAWCAAAACTAAACTCTGTAAGCATCGTTAACTTATATAAATAGTTGCATATATTCTGCACATCGCCAAAGAAAAAATGCTCTCTAAATATTTGTAAAAAAAAAACTATCAGTTCCGTTTGCCATTAGTTTTCTTCCAAAAGTGGCAGCCCAATTCTCGTCATTTAGTTTAACAAACGTGACCGYTGCTATCGTCGCCACAAATTGTCAACTTGAGTTTACCTTAACGCGTACTTAGTTCCGTTTCCGGTGTGATTTGCATCCTTAATGCCTTCAAAGTTATGAAATTGATGGAGTGTATAACAAATAAAGTCTGTCTTTCCTCTAAAAAAGAAAATGAAACGAAAAATAAATCAAGCATGTTGACTTCACCACCGAAGCACTTAGTAGTGCGTTATTGCCTGAAAAATATTTTTTGTTTCCCTTTCACGTACAGATTTGCGGTGAGCAGCTGCGCCAACGTGATTTAAGTTMGCAATCAAAGCAACAAAATTACGACTGGAATGATGAGTGGAAAAGTTTCTTGCAGACGAGACAATTTGTGAGCTCGCAGTCTGCTGATTTTGTGTCATTCTCTGCTGTTTAGTTGCGTGCAAAGTTAACAAAATTGTAAAAAGTTKTTTTCTAGTTACAAGTACACGCTACAGCCACCTTGATACATACATAGCTTACAGCGCCACTGAGTTGGTCACCGAGCTGCGTTTTCACGATTTAAATGTACAAGCAAATAATAAACGACAAATTGCGAGAAGTATATTTCGCWGTAGTAGATTTTTGTTCTCATTTTGTTTGTTTCGAACTCCTCCTTCAACCAAATGTTAACGAAAAATTGCTTGAGCAGCATTAAAGTTGAGTACAGAGTAGAGTAATGAGAGTTTAGAGTTACAAGTGCATGAAAATGTCAGACACAACARGTCACTTCCCCAAAAACAAWTACAAAAACAAAAAACAACAATYGCAAAACAAAAACCTGTTTGACTTTTCACAAACTCTTTCAAGTTGCGGCAACGCTTTTGCAMGTCATTGTGCGCGCGCCCCTGCGTATGAGTGACATTTTTTCCATTCGCAATTTTATAACGAAAACATAACCTGCACTTCGGTAACGTCATCGTTTCTGACCGTTATGCTCAAAATGTTTGCTCGCTTACTCCTTCAATTAACTTTGTATTTGTTTTCGTATTTTTCTCAACATTTTTTATTATTATTGTRCACATTCGTTGTTATTGTTATTATTGTCACAATGCGAACGCACTAAGTGACATTGTTTGCTTTTAATAAAGAAGCAATTTCAATAAAACGCAAACAACTTAATGTTGACATAATAAAGTTTTCATTTTGCATAATTTTTTCTTTTCAATTCAAGCACCGTTAGCTATTTGCTGGCTGTTAAAAGTGTACATGCTGTAGTTAAGGCCAAGGTGTGATGAAAAATTAATGATAAATTAATTACAGTTGCCAACTTCTCTTGACTGTGTTGTAGATGAAGTACAGCCTTCAAATTTAATAACTTTATAATTTTTCTGAAAGTTGTTGTGTAAAAATTTTCAAATAGAACACAGTGGCAATGTCATGTGTGTGTTTGAGTCATAAACACAAAGTAAAAAACTTATAGAAATTTGCTTAGAATCTTTATTTATTAAAAAGCTRTTAAACTTTACGAATTTTATGCAGATTTATCGAGAGGTTGCCACCTGTATTTAATTGAAAACATTATTGAATTATTTAATTAGTGTTTAATGTAGTTCTGTAATATGGAAAGWGATTTAAACAGTTTTTTATTACAAAAAAGAGTTGCCACCAATTTAAATTTTTATAGAAAAAAATATAAATTGAACTTAGTGAGGGTAATTAACTTTGATTTATTATATCATAATAGAGTTCTTTGTCAAAAATCGGTTAAACTTAACAAGGCTTATGCAGAATTACAGGAAGGTTGCCACCTGTATTTAATGAATAACATTAACTAGTCATTTAATATATGTAGTTTTTTAGTATGGAAAGAGATTTAAACAGTTTTTTGATACAAAAAAGAATTGCCACCTGTTTGGGAGTAACTAACATTAAATACTGAAATTGATTTCACATGCCTTAAGTGTTGCCACTCTCAGAAAATAGAAGTTTTCACATACATATATTGTGTTCAAATTAGTAATGCTTTGGAAATATGTTTAATTGTGTGAAATTCAAAAACATCTTAAGATGTTTTTTGTACACAACCAAGTTGCCACTTATCTTAATTTCTTTTTAATATAAAAAAGTTTAAAATTCAAAACCAAGTGGGCGTAATTTACATTCAATACACAATTTATTTAAAAATATCATAGTAGAGTTGCCACCCTTATCAAATAAAGCTTGCTACAYATATTTAGTTTTTAATTATTAATTACTGTAATATGCAGATTAAAGGAATGTTGCAATACGGAATATTTAAATGTATTTTTCATAAAAGAGCGTTGCCACTTGGTAAAAAATTAAAAAGGTACAACAGTTTTAAATCAATTGGGGGAGATTGACTTCGAATAGTGAGTTTAGAGTAATCCGCATCATAAGAGAGTTGCCACCCTTATACAATTTCTAAAAAAGAAAATTTATCAAAAGATCAAAAAATTTCTATAAAAGATATGGTTTTTAGA